AAACTTAAACCTGTATACCAAATAGCACAAATTTCACTTTTGTAAATTATATATAATTTTAAGATGAGGCAAAGGGTAACTAAGCACATATATTATTTGTTTAAATGTACTATGAAGAGATGTGAGAAGTAAACGTATTTACCTAAAGATGAAGAAACCAGGGAAATGAAGGACAGAGGACCATTATTTTTCACTGCGCAATTTTTTTACATGAGTGAATATATTCCCTGCCAAAAATACTCCATTTAAAAATTTAGTCACTGTCAAAGAATCTCATGTAGTGAGGCTGGAGTGGTTCCCAGGTGATCTGAGGCATCAAGGGCTGAGACACACCTTGAAAATCACTTCCCTTGTAGGTTAAGATGCCCCTCTGAAGCCAAGCTGATCAAATTCACCCCCACTCCATCATTTACTGAGTGACCTTGAGCAAGTGAGTTAATCTCTCCAACCCATAGGACTGGTGTGAGGATGAAATCAGTGTTTACCTGGGGAGCTGAAGTATTACCTTCTCCCTTCTCGGTGGTGTACCACTGTTAATAGGACCAAAAACATCAGTGTGTGGTGTTGCCAGGCCATTCGTTTTCTATGAAAGGTGTTTAACTACACCCACATCTTACTCAACTGTAGGTGTATCTATTACTATATATAAATAAAATTTCAATACCAAAAGTTCTTTGATTGAGGGCAAATTATGTATCTGGTGTTGGGGTTGGAGGGGTATATGGAACTATACGGAACTATATTATTGTGCTCAATTATTCTGTAAAACTAAAACTGTACAGCAGTGCCTGGGTGGCTCAGTCAGTTAAGCATCCAAATCTTGATCTCAGCTCAGGTCTTGATCTCAGGGTCTTGAGTTCAAGCCCCGCACTGGACTCCATGCCCGGCGTGGAGCCTACTTTAAAAAATAAATAAATAAAACAGGGTGGCACAGTCAGTTAAGCATCTGACTCTTGGTTTCACTCAGGTCTGATCTCTGGGTGGTGAGATCGAGCCCCATATTGGGCTCTGCACTCAGTGCAGTCTGCTTGAGTTTCTCTTTCCCTCTGCCCCTCCCCCACTCTCTCACTCTGTCTCTCTAAAATAAATAAATTTTTAAAAAAATAAAAATAAAATGTACTAACAATAAAGCCTATTAATTATTTTTTGAAAAAAGTTATTTGGGGCGCCTGGGGTGGCTCAGTCGTTAGGCGTCTGCCTTCGGCTCAGGTCATGATCCCGGGGTCCTGGGATCGAGTCCCGCATCGGGCTCCCTGCTCAGCAAGAAGTCTGCTTCTCCCTCTGCCTCTCTCTCTGTCTCTGTCTCTTATGAATAAATAAATAAAATCTTTTTAAAAAAAAAGAAAAAAGTTATTTGAGAGTAACTCAATTTATAATTGATAGTGATAGCTCAAGCCATCAATGTGCATGAAGAGAATTCGTGCAAAGCAAGACAAAATTTTATTTTTTTAAGATTTTATTTATTTACTTATTTAGAGAGAGCACATGAGTAGGAGGAGGGGTGGAGGAAGAAGGAGAGAGAGAATGTCAAGCAAACTCCCCGCTAAGCAGGGAGCCCATCAGGGGCTTGATCCCACGACCCTGAGATCATGACCTGAGCTAAAATCAAGAGTCGGACACTCAACCGACTGAGCCACCCACGTGCCGCCCCGAAACAAAATTTTAAATTATTTTCTAATATAATGCCATTTAAAAAAATTAAAAGTGGCTTGAAACTTAATACTTAGGGATTTTAAAGACTCCAAAATGATGATTTTATGTCATGGAAAGATGATTCAATGTCATGGAAAGATGTTCACAATATATTATTATATGAAAAACCCAGATTAACAAAAAATATATATGTTAAAATAGAATCCTTTGTTGTTGAGGTAAAATGCACATAACATAAAATTCACCATGTAAACCATTATAAAGTGTACAATTTCATGCATTTAGTACGTTCACAGTGTTGTGCAACCACCACCTCTAACTAGGTCCAGAGCACTTCATCACCCAAAAAGGAGACCTCCTACCCTGTACAGTCACCCTCCAGTTCCCCCTCCCACCCCTCAGCCTTGGCAACCACCAATCTGCTTTCCATAGCTATAGATCTTCCTATCCTGGACATATATTGCATATAATGGAATTTTACAATATGTGACATTTCACTCAGTATCATGCTTTCAAAGTTCATCCATGTTGTAACATGTATCAGTGCTTCATTACTTTTTATAATCCAGTAAAATCCTTGTTATGGATATACCACGTTTTGTTTATCCATTCATCTGATCATGGATGTTCGGATTATTTCCCAAATATCCAACTTTTGACAGTTGTGAATAGTGCCACAATGAACTTGTGTACAAGCTTTTGTTTGAACACCTGTTTTCAATTCTTTGGGGTATATACCTAGGCGTGGGATCAGTGCCTCATATGATAGTTCTATGTCTAATTTATTGGGGACACACCGAATGTTTTGCACAGGAGCTGCACCATTTTACGTTCCCACCAGTAATGGGTCAGTGTTCCACCTACACCACATCTTCACCAGACCTCTTATTTTCCCTTTTTCAGACTCTTGCTATCCTCGTGGGTATGAAGTGGTATCACATGAAGCATTGCTTTGCATTTCCCTGATGACCAATGATGTTGCATTTTTTCATGTGCTTATTAGCCAGTAAAACAGCATTTTTATTTTTATTTTATTTTTTTTAAAGATTTTATTTATTTTTTTAGAGATCGAGCGAGAGAGAAACAGCATGAGAGGAGAGAGGGTCAGAGGGAGAAGCAGGCTCCCCGCTGAGCGGGGAGCCGGATGTGGGACTCGATCCCAGGACCCTGGGATCATGACCTGAGCCGAAGGCAGACGCTTAACCATCTGAGCCACCCAGGCGCCCAAAAACAGCATTTTTAAACAGAAGATTACATGTAAATATAATACATTTAGATGTAAATACATTGTTTTACTTGTATAAAGATTATATATATAAATAAGAGCTGGACGTATATGTGAGAAAATATGAACTGTGATTATTTTGATATGTGTGAATTATGGATATAAAAATGATTTTTATTTCTTACATTTTCTTCTTTGTGTTTTCTCCTATGAAGACATATCATTTTGGGAAGACGAACAATATTTTAGTTAAGAACTCGGCAAAGAAAAACACATGTGATTTTCAGCTTACAATATATTAAATATTTATTCATTTCATGTTGCAATGTTTCCTTCATATTTTGCAATCTGTAAGCCTCCAGGGCCCCCAATCTGTGGGCCTCAGAAAGGTTTTGAGGTCCTAGACACTGTACCCCAGGGGGGTGCTCCTACAGCCTGAGAGGAAGGAGTCCAGGGGCAGCCACTGTTCCAGGTGTCAAAGGAAGCGGTTCAACCCCCCACCTCACTATTGAGATGCACATGATCTCCACCTCTTGAAACATTTAGGCAAAAATGAAGGCAGTTTCATGCCTCTCGAGGGGGAAAAAAATCTTTTTTTTTTTTTTTTTAGTTCCTAGCTTCAAGACCAGCTTGCCATCAAAGGCCCTTGGAGTTTCTCCGAGGTAACTATGGATATTTACAACTGGGTCTTCTAATGTTAGTTTTCTTCAACAGAAGGTTGCCACATTTACCAATACTTAAATTTAACTTTTGTGACTAAAGCTTTTTAAATTTCAGAACGTGATGCAAAAAGATGACAGAAGGGAACAAATTAACCCTCACTGAGTACTGATGCTTACCAGATATTGACTCAGTGATGTTGCACATGCTTGCTTATGCAATCTCCCCATCAGTGTAATAAGGTGGCTATTACTGTATGGTAACGGGACGGAGGCTCAGAGAGATCAACAATTTTCCCAAACCCACACAGCTAGGAAATAGCAGACTGGGATTGTGATCTTGGTAATACAACTCCAAGGTGCGCTGGATTAGGGTCATCGGAGCCTCACTGCATTTAGTTATCTGCCCCACCTTTCCTAAAGAGTGGTCTTGTCCTCTTAAGCCAAGAGAGAGCTCCAGCTACCCACACCACCCCAAGAAACAGAAAAGAAGAAAGGGGAAACTCGACAGAGAATGTCCAGCTTTCTCTCCAGGAGAGTTTCCAGAATTACCAGGTACTCTTTAACTTTTCCACATGGGACAGGGCATACTCATTCAGCGAATCTAGTTTCAAGAAAAGTTTTCAAATACTATCTGTATTTCAGCCTGCCATGCACCTAACAAAACCTAAGGATTACAGGAAGGCAAAAAGGAACGTCAGGATACACAGCAGTCTCTGACACCATCCATCCTGTTGACTACCAAAGCATCCAATGTGTACTCCTCTTCCTATACAAGAAACACCCCCAGGGGAGTCAACCTCAAAGTGCACCAGCTCCCTCCATTTAGCCCAGGTTCCAGGGTCTCTGCATGATGTGCTGTCCTCTCCCTCAAGCCCTGATGTGAGCTTTTTTGTGGTCCAGGAATGTCTACACTTAAAGGCAATTTTCATCCTCAATACATTCAAGAGTGGAGTAATAACTGGATCGTGACCATTAAAATTCCAACTGAGACTTCCTGTTCCCACTAATGGCAAGCTAGGTTACTTGGATTAAACTTTCAATTTTTAAAAAACAACTCTCACAGCTGGATACTTTTCCAATTTCTTAAATGAATACATGACCAGAAAAGATAGTAAAGAATTACGAAGACACCACTCAAATGAAACTAGAAGCCTAGAGCTAAATGAACATGAATTACACATTTGCCCTGGAGGCATTTCTCAAGTCAGGAAAATGTGAAGCTGTTTTGATGGCTTCATGGTCAGGGGAGAAAAATCAAGGCCTATAGTGATACGAGAAAGAGAAATTGTGAGAAGACCCTCCTTACATAAGTGGAGACCTCAAAAAGCTACACCCCTCAGAGTGAGAGGAGTGGAGGAGCCTATAAGTGTGATCTCAACTAGAATTTAAACTGCCTTCCTGATCTTGGCCACCACAAGTCTTGAACTTGATTTAACATAATCTTCCATCAGCAAGGCTCCAAGACCTCCTCCTTAGAGAAAGCTACCCTCTTCAAATTCTACAAATCTTATTTCAAATATGATAACCAGTAGTCAGGCAAAGATAACCAGGCACACAAGAACGACGACTCTGCCAGTGAAAACCAGCAAAAACAACAGACTATATAACAGATACAGTGACTGCAATGATCACACAGGATAAAGTATATTTGCTTTGTTGAAGTAAACACAGTAACTATAGACATAGTGAAGGATCCTGAGGTAAGAGAAGTTTGGGTATATTAGATAGGAACAGAGGTCAGGCTGATCAGAGCGTAGTGCTACTACGGGTTCTCCTCTGTGACCCAGAGCCTCAAACATGCCCTTAAGTCAGTCCTTAACCCTGGTCCCTCTCTCGCTCAAACACCTCCCAAGGCTCCCTATTGCCTACAGGATAAACTCCTTGATCGGGCTCTGGTAGAACCAGCAATCAACATGGGGGGCCTGTGGTCATCTGGAAAGGCTCTCAGGGTCTTGGGCCTCCTCTCCACCCCGCCTCGCCCACCCCTGCTGGCTCTCGATGAGGTTCTGGCAGAGGAGACTGCAAAGTTTCATTCCTGGGAATCCACAAAGCGAGGCGTGTAGGTTCTGGGTGGATCCCAAGCCAGCAGCTCGCAAGGTCACCGGGAGCCCGCGCTCAGTGGCTCCACGCGCTGCCAAAGTCCACCCTCTGCGCGCAGGATGAGCTCCAGCTTCCTGCGCGGCTCCTCCTCCTCTGGCAGGAACCCGAAGCGCAGCAGCGTGAGCGCCAGGACCACCTTCATCTCGGTCATGGCGAACGTCTGCCCAATGCAGTTCCTGTGGGCGGAAGTGACGGCTCTGACTCGCCAGGGACCCAGCAGGTCCCATCGCGCCCAGAACTTGGCCCGGGACCCCCAGCCCTGCCTGCAGGGATCCAGAAGTGGGCTAACCCATGCCTGGGACCCCCATGTGGGCTTGCCTATCCCCTGAGCTTGGCCCAGACCCCAGCCCTGAACTCAGGCCAGCAGACAGGGGGAAGGGGCTCTGCCCACACCGAGGAGCTCTTGTTAGACCCATCCAACCTCCACTCCCCAGACCGTTACCTCTAACCTCTGGAAGAGGGGAGAGAAGGAGAGCCATCCTCAATTTCCCCCCTTTCCTGCCCCCACAGCCATGTCTGGGTTTTCAGTCCCAGATCCCTGCCCTCACCACCACATTCCCACCTGGGATGCCCGCTGCGCTCACCTGGGCCCCGCGGAGAAGGGAATAAAAGCCAGGGGAGACCTCTTCTGGGGGATTTCTGGGTCGAAGCGGAAGGGATTGTATACCTGGGGTCAGACAGAGGCAGGGCTGCTGGGTGGGGTTTCTCAAGATACCCAGACAACGCTAGAAAAGACAGCTGTGGATACAGTGGAGGGGGAGTGTCTGACTTCCCTGGTCAAGACCCCGCCCCCTGGTCGGGTCGCCGGGTGGAGAAGAGGGAGGGAAGCACCTCAGGGTCCGGCCAGATAGACGGGTTGTGATGAATCCCAAAGATGCTGATGACACAGATGCTCCCTATGGGGGAGAAGAGAAACAGTCAGGATAAGGTCTCAGCAGATAGGACCACCACCCTCCTCCCCCTGATGCTGTGGACACCTTTGGGGATGACCCGGCCATCAGGGAGCCTGACGTCCTGGGTACAGCGGCGGGCAATGACTGTAACCGAGGGGTGCAGCGTCAGACTCTCCTTGATGCACATGGTCAGGAAGGGCAGCTGGGCCAGGTCCCTAAGGAAGCCCCCCAACAATTATCCAAGGATCGAATCAAAGACTCCCCCAGCCCTCCTGCTGCCCCTGGAGACCCTCTCCCCACCTTGCTCTGACCCTCACTTCTATAACAAAATAAATTCCAGATGGGCCAAAAATTTAAGCATTAGAAAATCAAAATCACAAAAGTCACTAGAAGGAAATTTAACCTAGTATTTTTAGAAGCATTTCTGAGCAAAGCACAACATTCACAGGGTATCCTTAAAAGTGTTAATACATTTGCATAAGAAAGTTTTTTAAGTATACAATTAGTTGAAAAGGAAAAAAATATATACTGGACTTAACAGATTATTTGAACAAATAAGACCCACACTCTAAGGTGGGATGACCTAATATTATAAAGGCGTAGATTCTTTGTAAGTTAATTGATATATTCAAGGCAATTCAGTAAAAATCTAGTTGTTGTTGTTTTGAACTCAGTAATCTTACTCAGTTTGAAAAAAATAAACTTCAAGAGCTATGTCAGGTATTAAGGAGGGCACGTATTGCATAGAGCACTGGATGTTATACACAAACAATGAATCATGGAACACTACATCAAAAATTAATGATGTAATGTATGGTGATTAACATAACATAATAAAGAAAAAAAGAGCTATGTCAATTTAAAAATAAAAGATTGAAGAAAGAGAATTCATCTACCAAATATTAAGACCTATTATAAAAGTATGGTAATATTAAAATAAAATAAATAAAATAACAGCATGGCACTGTTTCAAGAACAGGAAAACAGACCCATGGGACAGGATAGAGAGCTCAGAGACAGGCACATGAATAGTTGAAAACATAGCATCTGGTAAAGGAGGCCCCACAATCCCTCAGAAATGGATGGTCAGACAACTGATGATGTGGAAATAAAAAGTACTGGATTATCATGCACTCTACATGAAGATGCAGTCTTCTCTTATACTTGAAAGGTAAAACCATAAAGTTAAAAGAAGATATAACATAGAAGACATCTTTGTGACCTATGAGTAGGAAGGAATTCTTAAAACCCCCAAAACATAAAATGGAAGAGAAAGAAGAAAAAAAAAGGAAAACTATGCACAGAATTAAGGATTTCTGTTTAACAAAAGACACCCTGGACCAAATTAACATTCAGATGAGAGATTTACAGAAGATTATCTGCAATAAATAAATGGATCTAGAACAATATCTTGAATATACAAGGACTTCCTGCAAATCAACAAGAGAGATGACAGGGACTCAAGAGATAAGCAGACAAAGGACATGTTCTAAGAATTCATGGGAGCTCAAACTCAGAGATTTAAAACATGAAGAGAAGCTCAAAGTTGCCGGTTATGAGACAAATGGAAATTATCTAGTAATGAGATATTACCTCACATCTATTTGAGGGGAGAATTAACAAGATGGGTGATGGTGAAGATTAAGTAGCTGAGGCATGGGGTAGAGAGACCTCATGCATTGACGGTGACAGTATGAACATGAGCAACCACTCTAAAAGGCATCAGTGTGGTCAAGGAAAGGCAATGTGTGTTTTACGACCTACCAACCTGGCTCTTGGGCATAGAACCCAGAGAAATTCTCAGATAGGTAGATAAAGACATGCACACCAAGATGTTCATTGCAGTAATGAGATGGAAGCCTCCTGGATATTCAGCTCTAAGGGATTGTAGAGGGAAATTCTATATGACAGTTCAAAGCAATAACCTAAATATAACAGAACCAGGGATTTCTAGTAAAGTCATAGTGCTATGTTTCTGAAAAAGGTAAGAGCCAGCAGGAGATCTGTGATATAACACATACCTGTGAATTTTAAAATACATCTACCCAAAACAACAAATTATGCAAATAAAAGGATTGAATACTCTAGAATCATATTGGTGGAGTGCTGGAAGTAGAGAATTGGAATGAATGGGAATAAGTAAGTATTGCACAAAAAAAAAAATGATGATAATTAGTCATGAGTAAAGGGCCACGGTTAACTTCATCCTTGACACCTGATGCCCAAATAACTAACAGATTAAAACTGTCAAGAGTATTTTTCAAACTACCCAATCCAATCATAGTGTTCAAATGAAAAAAATAAAAATGCAAGAAAAAATGTAAATGCAAAGTAATGAGATTGAACCAACTTTATCAATTATGAAAATGTTTTTTAATATGATAATGAAGACTGCTTAGTGCTTATGTATGAATATATAAATAGAACAGAATGGAGTCCAGAAATAAGCCCTAATATATGAACAAATTTAGTTTATTGTAAAGCTGCTATTATTTAAAATCCTAAGACAAATACAAACTATGTATCAAATTCTGTTGAAATAATTAGCCATTTGGAGAAAAAAATAGATTCCTACTTCAGCACTTATACCAGTATGGATTTAATATGGAAGAAAGATTAAATGTAAGAAATAATAATAAAAATATTAAATAAAATTTAAGTTCAATAACATTTTTCAATAAATAAATCCATTAGGGGCGCCTGGGTGGCTCAGTTGGTTAAGCGACTGCCTTCGGCTCAGGTCATGATCCTGGAGTCCTGGGATCGAGTCCCGCATCGGGCTCCCTGCTCGGCGGGGAGTCTGCTTCTCCCTCTGACCCTCCCCCCTCTCATGCTCTCTGTCTCTCTCATTCTCTCTGTCTCAAATAAATAAATAAAATCTTTAAAAAAATAAACAAATAAATCCATTAGAAGAAAACAAACAAGTTTTAAAGTTTAGCATTAGAGTGTGAAGGGCTTTTCCAAGCATTAAAAAAAAAAACAAAAAAAACAGAAGCTATAAAAAAGCCAATAAGGAGCGCCTGGGTGGCTCAGTCAGTTAAGCGTCTGCCTTCGGCTCAGGTCATGATCCCACGGTCCTGGGATGGAGTCCCACATCGGGCTCCCTGCTCAGTGGGAAGCCTGCTTTTCCCTCTCCCCTACTTGTGTTCCCTCTCTCACTGTGTCTCTCTCTGTCAAATAAATAAATAAAATCTTTTAAAAAAAAAAGCTAATAAATGTGATTACAAAGAAATGAATGAAAACCAAAATAAAGTCAAAAGACATCCTGGGAAAGAATTTTTGCAAAAAAGAAAAGAAATTAATTCTCTTTAAAGAGTCCTTATAAATCAGTAAGAAAAAAAACAAAAAAACTCAAGGTAAAAAGGACAAATTACGCAAAATGATGCTTTGCAGGAAAAGAAATATTCATGGTTCATAAACATGTGAAAATAGTGCTCAGTTTTACCCATACTTAAAGTGATGTTCATTAGAATAACAAAGTATAATATTCACTTACCAGGTTGGCACAAGTTGTAAAGTTTCATAACACACACTGTCAGTGAGGATGCGAGGAAATTGGCACTCTGAAAATCCGTTTGTAGGAGTCGATTTGCCAAGAGCTAATTAAATTATGAAAACTCAAATGGTCTTTGATTCAGCAACACCACTTCTAGAAATCTGTTCTGGAGAGACATCTACACATGTGAGCAAAAATCAGTGTACATGGATGTTTACTACATCATGTTTATTATAGCAAAAGCTCCCAAACTACAAATGTCCATCGACAGGAATGTTTAGATAAATCATGGTACATCCATGTGATGGAATACTATACAGCTAACAAAAAGAAGGAAATAGGGCTCACTAGTCCTAACACACGCTGCAAGGTAAATCAGTACAGAGATGCTGAAAGGCAGTTCAGCAATATCTATCATAACTACAAATCTTCTCATAAATGTCCCCAAAAAAGGGGTGAGATGAATAATTTATGCAATCCTATATCGCACTCAGAAAGGAGCTCTAAGACATAATATTGAGTGAAAAAAACAAGTGACTAAATGTATGGGGATGTATTTCTATTAAACTATAATAATTACATAAATATATAACTCTAAGAATTTCAGAAAAGTCTGAAAGGACATATGACAAATTGATGCCCCTAGAGACCCCTCAGGAGATAGGGGATTGATGAGGCTTGGGGGGAGGGTAACAAAGGTGAACCTAACTTCTCCATAGTGTTTCATTTTGTGCAAGAAAAAATAAAAAGTCTTCTTCCCATTATTGATTTTGTAATTCAAATTAATTTCTCAAAATTTGTATCCTGAAAAAAAAATGAAAAGATCTGGAAATTATATTGTCAACCTGCATGCCTGAATGTTCTATGTATATTCTCAGTTGTAGAAAGAAAACTGAATGAGCAAAGAGATGGTGGACAGATACATGTGGGCATAGACTGAACATTGGAAGGACACAGGAAACTATCAAAGGTGGGGATGGGATTGGGGTGCTGGCATAAGACAGAGGCTTATGTGAAATAATAGAAGAGTTTAACCTTTTACTCATCTTGCAATATATATCAAATCCTTGTGTTGTACACCTTAAACTTACACAGTATTATATGTCAACTATATCTCAATAGAGCTGAGAAAGAAAAAAAGACAAAGGCTTATATCCATTGCAAACCAATTCATACTGTTGAAATTTTTACCAAGTGTATAATTGTTTGAAGCTGGGAGAAGCACAAAAACACTTCTCCACTTCACAGAACTGCTCTGCTGAGCAAAGCCTTGAAGTTGAGGGCACTACCTCCAAAGTGTTCAGTCCAACATCTCCTCTGCATCCTTCAGCCCTTGGCTCCAAATCTGCTCCCTGGCCCCCAGGCTCCAGCTCATCACCTCCAATTTGCCCCTGTAGCTACAGATATTTTTAATAAGAATATCTGACTTTTCAGAATTTGAATTGAGTGGGGAGGAGCAAGATGGTGGAGGAGTAGGAGACCTAAATTTCATCTGGTCCCAGGAATTCAGCCATATAGGGATCAAACCATTCTGAACACCTACGAATTCAACAGGAGATCAAAGAAAAGAATAGCAGCAACTCTCTGAACAGAAAAGCAACCACTTTCTGGAAGGGAGAAGCCAGGAGTTGGGAGTTTCCCCTCAATTACCATGCTGTGCTAATGGGAGGAGCTCTGGTCTCTTCTGATTTGTTTAGTGTATATTTTCCTGGGTCGTTG